AACTAAAAACTTTTTTTTCTTGGGCTTCCTTAAATAAAAAAAAGACACTGGATCTTCATCTCTGGCATGAAAATCCAATGCGTGTTTGCCAAGATGGTGGCAAACATTTTATATTTATTTGTCACATAGCATCTACTTTTTGTTTCCTCTTGACAGAAGCTGGTGGTGACCAGTTTGCCCTGTGGGTGGCTTTCTTTGAAATCTACAATGAGTGTGTGTATGACCTCCTCCAGCCGTCTCAGTCCAAGAAGCGCTCCTCTCTCCGCGTGTGTGACGACGGAGCTGGAAATGCTTATGTGAAAGGTGTGAAACATGTAAATACAAATGCAACATTTGACTTTTGCAGTAATTTAAATACTCTTTATCTGACTTTAAGATCTCAAATGGATTAACATCCAGAACCTGAGTGAAGCCAACAAACTGCTGCAGTTTGGAAATAAGAACAGAAGTGCTGCAGCCACTAAAATAAACCAGTCGTCCAGCAGAAGGTGAACTATTAAGTTTTTCATCTATCTTGTTGGAATTGGGTCTGTGTGTTTATTTTCTTTTTTTTAGTCACAGTATATTCACCATGAAGTTGCTGAAGATCGACGGACAAACAGTGGAAAGGATTTCTGAGTAAGTAATATTGATATCAGATCAGGAGATCCTAACGTCTGGAATTTAAATCTCTTAACATGAAGGCTGCAAAATATATTTAAAGATTATCCTTTTCTTGTTTTTTTGGTGAATAACTTTCCCAGGTTCTCTCTCTGCGATCTGGCTGGTTCGGAAAGATGCAACAAAGCGAAGACATTCGGAGAGCGGCTGAAGGAGGCTGGGAACATCAACAATTCCCTCCTTATTCTAGGAAAATGCATCAGCGCCCTCCGTAGCGGTCAGGCTGACGGGTAAAAGGAGTTGGAAGCTGGTTGCCAATCATTGGGTTTAAATTTACTTTTTGTTTAACTGGGACAACTTTGTGTCTCGGTGTCAAGAATGAAGGCCACCTACGTTCCGTTCCGAGAAAGCAAACTCACCAAGCTCTTCCAGGCTTTCTTCTGCGGGAAAGGAAGAGCCGCGATGATTGTCAACATCAACCAGTGTGCGTCCACTTACGACGAGACCCTCCATATTATGAAGTTCACTGCCGTCGCCAAACAGGTTAGTTCAGGCAAATGGACACCAAGGTCATTCCCAATTCGAATGAGACTTTATGCAACCAGAACTCCCCCCCCCCAGGTGGTTCAGGTGATTCCAAACGAATCTGCGGCGCCTTCAGTCCCTTGCCTGGTCGGCCGGGATGGGAAGCCATTGATGAGGAATGGCATTCTGGAGGGCTACCCATCCGAAGACGAGCTGTTTGAAGAAGAGGATGATGTGGACATGTCTTTGCTGCCACAAAATGTAAAGCTAACAACTATCTTACTCCTTTTTTTTTTTTTTTTTTTCTTTTGTGGCTCTAATGAAAACTCTTGTCTGCATGGATTTCTCTTTTTAAGGATCTTCTGAACATAATTGAGAACCTCCGAACCAAATTTCTTGCCGAGCGAAAGAAGAACCTGGTCCAAGAAATGGAAATCCGTAAAGAAATGGGGGACGCCATGTTGCAGCAGCTCCTGGAGAGCGAAGAACTCCGCATGTATGCTCAGTGCTGTTTAGAATCATCTTGGGTGGTTCACTTTAACAAGCCATTGGTGTGTGTGTGTGTGTGTATATATATATATATCTCCTTAAAGCCGGCAGGCTGAGGAGCTGAAAGAGAGTTATGCAGAGAAGCTGGAGAACACGTTTGAGATGTACAAAGATGCGATCAAGGAGCACGCTTATCAGTGTGCGATGAGCAACCTGGAGGATAACTATGTGCCGCTTGTTGCGTTCACTGCTGAACAGGAGAAAGCTGAGGTAATTTCTTTTCCTTGTTTTTTTTTTTTTTTCTTTTTAAATTAAAAATTACATTTTAAATTAAAACATATGAAATGTTCTTTCACATTGAAAGAACTTTGTAGAAGTGATCCAAACAAAATAAGTCTCTTAAAAAAGACAGATTAAATATAAATACAAAGGAGTGACTATGAATGACAATTTCGTATTTATAACAACTGGCTAAACTCAAATTACAAAATATAGTGGTGGTAGTTTATAGCTTAAGAGTCATTGGTATTACAGCTCCTTGATTGGTCCCAGCTTAACAACTATGAAATTGATTACATTCAGTTTTGATACTTGCATATTTATACATATGCTAGTATACGATGTATAAATATACATATTATATTTGGTGTCAAAGGTTTTGCCCCATCCTCATTTACATTTTTGCTTTTATTTTAACATTTGTCATATTTCAGTAGGCTTTAGTGTTTCCAAACATTAAACCAACTTAAGGGGTGGTGTGGTGATGCAGGGGTTAAGCCCAACACGCATAAGGAGGCCTTAGTCCTCAACACGGCCGTTCGATTCCCGGCCTGGTGACCTTTGCCACATGTCTTCCCTCTCTCTCTTCACCTAATTTCCTGTCAACACTTTCAAATAAAGGTCACTAGAGCTGGAAAAAAAACTTAAATATTACATAAAGATGAGGCAAGCCTACAAATCATACAGTTTTAAAATTGTTCATTAATGGAGAAAAGTTTTCTGTGCACATCTAATAATTTCCATGTTATTACTTCTCACTTAATTACACAAATATAACCGTTCTCCACTACCACGAAAACAAGTTGCAGATTATTTCCATTTTGTTGATATTACAACACTGAACTAACTTCAATAGTTTTTTTTTTTTTTTTTTTTTTTTTCATCCTTTTCCTCAAAATAATAGAACGAATTATCCAAAAGGTGGGACAGAACTTTAAACATTTCAAGTTGGCAACTGGCTACATCACATGACATATTTTACAATGCAGTTTCTATATATAAATATGATTTTTGTTTTTTGGTAGGCGCTCAAACGTAAAGTGTCTGAGTTGGAGGACTTGCTGTCCAGCATAGGAAGAGGCGTTTCTCCAGTGCTGAGAGTGGATCAGTGGTGTCAGACGGAACCGTTGCCAGATGCAGGAGAAACGGGTAAAAAGTTTCCTCTCTCCCGTTCTGAGATCTCTAGATGCATTGATGTTAAATTACTTTTTTGCCCACACAGATGATCGAATCAAACAGCTTTGCCAAGAAAATGGTGTCCTTGAGAAAATGTGCGAGGATAATAAACAGGTAACTGTGTCAGAACCTCTCCCTCGGAGACTGTTTCAACGCATAATGACGTAGATGTTTGGTCTTCAGTTCATTTTATATTTGGAGAAAAGGCTGGTGGATCTTAGCCAAACTCTGCAGCACGTCCGGGATGATTTTCTGGAGAAATCGGATGATGCGGAGGCTCTGCGGAAGACGGTTGACCAACAGGTGAGACGATGTCGTCATTAGGGACAGAGTTCAGAAACTTCCCACGGTTGCAGTCGTCTTTTGAGTGTAAATGTTTTGTGCTGTGTCACAACAGTCCAAATCCATGGAAGAAGTTCTGTGCCAGAATGCTGAAAAAGACGAGGAGATTGCCTCGCTTAAAGCTGAAATCGAAAAGCTTTCACAGAAGTCTCCAGTGCAGCTCAAGACCAGGACCAGGAAAGGCCTACTGGCCAACATCAAGGATGTGGTTTCATCCCCTAGGAGGGGCCCGTCCAGCCACAGCCTCGTGAAGCCTCCCAGGACTGCCAAGTACTGAACATCCCACCGTCTGTATTTTGGTGTTTTTTAAATGTAACTTTGTATCTTAGTGGCTTAACTCAGCAAAATGTTTGAATTTATTGAACTGGAAAGCTCTACAGAAGGTTTCAAATGTAATTTATTTCCAGATATTATTTTTTTTTTTTTTTTTACATTTTAAATGTTTTTGTTAATAAAATTCTATTGTTGATCCCTACTTCTTGATATTATAATCATTGACTCAATTTGATTGCTTTAAAATACCAGAACACATCAATTTCTTCCAAACTGCTTTCCTCACACAAATTGCTCCCTGACCTCCCTGTTCATTAGGATTAAATTAAAACACAGGTGGACTCAGTTTATAAATGGGAGTGGGAACTCCCAGCATTAATTTGACGTCAGACCAGCTTTCTAGCTCAGAAGTCAGAACATGGCGTTGCCTGTAAACATTGTTTGAAATGGCTTCTAAAACATTTTAAGCTTTACTTAAGCAAACGTCACTTTTTAGGTCCTTCCTGTAGGCTAATTCCTTACTGTTGTCGATGCTAGCACCCGCCATATTGAAACGTGAAGTCCGTCTTATTGGGGAGTTGCTCCCACTGGGAAATCTGACTTTAGAGGGCGTTCATTTTTTTTTTCTCCTTTTCTGCTGGGCAGTCAGAATTTCCCAGTTCAGAGTACAACTGGAAGTCAGTATAACTTGGTGACTTTGGACGGAGCTGGGTTTTACTGAATTATAATTGGGGCCAGCTTTACAAGGATGTGGGCCCTGGGCTGGATCCAGTTTTGGTGCCCAATCCACTAAGGAAAATGTATTGTAATAGTGCATATTACAACAAATAATAGCAGATATGTCAATACATAGGCAGTAACTCCCATATTGTTACCAAAGAAATCAACTAATTTTATAATTTTCAAAGACTTGAATTTTGTTTGTATTCATAAAAAATCCAAAATACTAATACAACTCCCCTAATTTGGGCAGATAAGCTTTGTATAAATCACAATGTTTCCAAAACATGCATTCATTAAAAAAAAGAAAAAAGAAATTGGGACCTTGGGCTGCTACCCCTGTAAGCCTTCTCTAAAGTCTGGCCTAGATGATCAATGTATTGGACTAAAGGTGGAAATATTCATAAGTTACAACTCCATAACTACTTTTTTTTAATTGCACATTTATTTGTATTTCTTCTAAGTGGATGCGCTCTACTACAAACCCTAGCTGTGGGACGACTGCGTGAAGTGCAGCACGTTGACCTTTACAGATGAGTGAAGGAGGTGTAGCCTGTACGGAGCGCTTGAGGTAAGGGAGCAGAGCCTCCTCGGTTAGTGAAAGGACCATCGTGGCTCAGGCTGCCAGCTGCTCTCCTGTCTCGGTGATGGTTAATGAGATTAGCAGTCCGTCTTAGCCTGCGTCAGTGCAAAGGGGTCAATCACTGGATTATCATCTTGCTTAAGAGTTACATCAGTTTAATATACTTTTTTCTTTATTGCTTTCACTTTCCAAAGCATGTTCAGCACGTACAATTGCACTTTATCCGCAGATAGGGGTGCTTCGCTCTGCAACATGCTTCGCCTCGGGACCGAGCGTGTCCAGGCTCTCGGGCGCTGAATGAGGCATCTTCCAGGGAGAGAAGAGGAGCCAGGGCAGCTGGAGAAGTGAAGGGCAGTGGGGCCGAGATCTCGCCTGCTGTGGCAGAGTCTGAGACTCTGTGCGAATCATCCCCATGCCACTTGTAAATAACAAAGTTGGCGATGATTGCACGGCGAGCGGAGACAAGGCTTTGGCCGATGGAAAGGCGCTGGTGGACTCGTTGATAAAGGTAAGTTGCAGCAGGCTTTTATTCATGCTTTCATAGCTGAAGTTGATGCTGTGACCCAGTTCTAGCATGTCATGTTCTACCAAAAATAATAAAGTCTTTGTGAACATTTTTTTAGATGTCTGATCTTAAAACATGGCCCCAAAAAGAATGGAAATATGTCTTGAAAAAAAGATTTTTTTAACATAACTTTCTATTTTAAATACATCCTCACTCTCTCACCATGCCCAGACATGATCATACACAAAAACAGGAAAAAATCTTTCCCCCCTGCAGCTAAAAGAGCACTTTATTTGAAAAGAATCCCCCGGTCCAGTGCATCTTTGTGCTCCTCTATTAGCTAATGTCATAGTCCTGCCATGCAATTCTGTCCCCACACTATTCCTTTTTTTTTTCTTTTTTGTGAACATTTTCTTGTCTATTACTTTAAAGTTTAAGCATATTTAAATAATTATTTTATATCTTCCTGCCTGATGAAATAAATGTATTGGTGCTGAGACCATCTTCATGTCACCACCAAAATATATATATAATGTAAATTTGAATTTTAAAATGTGTTACATGAACTGACTTTTCCTCTTAATACTGTCATCTCTGATTAACCATGTATTAATATGTTACTATATTTTATGTAACATACTTTAGTGATTAAATTGAACAAAAATCAATTGTGTAAATAAAGAGTTATTATTGTGTTGCGTCACGAAAAAAAAAAATGGGGGCCTCTTGTACTCTGGTCCACAAGGTTGTTTTGGCTTATCTACAAATAGATCCATGATAATGGGATTATATCTAATATTTTTAATGAATGAAACCATGGCTGCTAATCGCCTGAGGCTAAGCTAATGGTTCTTTATAAAACCCATGAACTACATGATGAATATCACACCAGACAAACTGTACTTTTTTTTTCAGAATACCTAGATCCTTGAAAATTCAGCTAATCATTTTTTGTCAATGAAATGTTGCCTCTACAAGTCAACATTTTTATAATGTGTATTATAGTTTTACTGCACTGACTAAAGTTGTCATAGGGACATTTGCATTGCCGTTTATGTAGTTGCTAAGATGACTAATAGATAACGTTTAATGGAGATTAGTGGTGCTGTGGTTCACGTGACGTGAAAAGCCACAGCATATCAGTGTTTATCTACAGCACTTTGCAAAAATATTCACACCCTTGAACTTTTTTTTTGCATTTTGTCACGTTACATTACAACCACAGACCTCAGTGTAATTATTTAAGAATTTATGTGAAAGAGCAACAGAAAGTACTGCAAATTTCTGAAGAGGAAGTAAATGAATGTGCACTACTTATTTATCAAACTTCTTCAATAAAAATCTGAAAAGTGTGACTCTCTTTGTGTTTGGAAATCGGATATCCAGAGTTCCCAGTCGGGGATGTGACAAGAACATTCTTTGGACTCAGAAGGCCCGAGTTCAGCAACCAATAAGGCAGCTTTCTGTTTAAACATAGTAGAAGTCACAATTAGAGACTATTTGCCATCAGTCAAATCAGTGATTTGACTGATTTTTAGACTTTTATAAACACACCTCACCCTAAAAACATCATTCCCACTGGAAACATGGTGGTGACAGCATCATGTTCTCAGGATGTTTTTCTTTACAGGAAAGCTGGTCAGAGTTGATGGAAAGACAGATGAAGACAATGAGAAAAAACATGAAGCCAAAGCTACTGTGGAGGTGTTTAGATCAAAACATATTCTTGTGTTAGAATGGCTCAGTCAAAGACCAAACCCAAATCCAATTGCAGAGGTTTAAAAACTGATATTTAGAGATGTTCTCTGTTTAGTCCGACTGACCTTAAGCTTTAAAAAAAAAAAATCATAAATAAATTAAGAAAAAACATTTGGTTTCTAGGTGTGCAGAGCTGGAGATATGGACCAAGAGACTTACAGCTGTAATTACTTAAAGTAATTAGATAAAGTATGGATTCAGGGAGAATTAATACAAAGGCACGCCAGGCTTCTCATGTTTCTTATTGTTAAAAGAAAAAAACAAACAAACAAAAAAAAGACTTATTTTTCTATAAAACAATTATGAGCTACTTTGCATAGTACATACCATTCTACTGAAATATATCAAGGGTTTGTGGTTGGAAATCTGGAAAAGTTCAAAAGATGTCTAAACATGGTGGCTGTTTGAGTGCTTTGTTTGAATTGTTAATTCCCAGGTGAATAGCTAAACCATAAACAAATATATGATCACTAATCTATACCGACTTACTTTTCTGTGGAGAATAAGTTTTCTCTAATGTGAATTTTTTTCTTGTTTATAGTTGCTGAAATTCAGCATCTCTGTGTGTGTGTGTGTGTGTGTGTGTGTGTGTGTGTACTTGTTTTAGTTATCATAAAGGTTCCAAACCACGGGAGCCCACCTCAAAGAGGGACCTTGTGTTTGCGTGGGGCCCAAAATCCTGTGTGTGTGTGTGTGTGTTGTGACAGGAATCTTTAATTTTGTTGTCTTTTAAGAAAAGATACAACCAAACACTAGGTTTGCAACACAGTTGCTCTGTTTTTGACATGTAATATTGTTTTATGTGTTGTCCTTGATTAACCAAATTCAAATTGAATTGAGTTGACGATATAAATCCCTTTTTTTCCCTCTCTCTCTCAGGTTGTAGCTTGCTACAGGCATTTAGCCTCATGCGTGGGTGGTTGCACAGACAGCCTGCAGCTCCGCGATGAGTTGAGGCAAACGAGAGAAAAGGCCCAAAATTTGGCTGGGGACATCTGCCACCACCTGACCTCACACCTCAGGGACAAGAGCCTGCCCGATGGACAGCGCAAGGAGATGGAGCTCCTCTGGGTGGCCTTCTCCTCATGCCTGGAGCTGCTGCACGTTGACATGTGCAAAGTTTTGAACATCAGCGGCATTGTCTCGTTAGCTGACTCTGCATCACTTGTGCATACTGGCCTGGAAGGTAGGTAATAATCTGAATGCATCACTACCTGACCCGTGTGAAGTCGACGCAGAGAGCTAGGTTGGTCAAGCTGATTGGTCAGCAGGCCAGTCAACATGTTTGAGAAAGAAACATGCTTTCTCAAACATGTTTTGCATATATGAGAAACCACGCAAAACATGGCTTAAAGAGAGAATTGTTGAATTTGTTGTATTACTTTACACTCTGTTTGATACCAACAGTATCAATTATCTTAGACCAAAGTTTTAGATGAGTTAACACCATTAGAGAGCGAGGATGTTAAAATGAAAGTTTTTACATCCTCACTGGTGCTTTAATTTAGATGCTGCCGTGGTAACAGCAGGAAGCTGCCGTTTAGGAGTGCTCCACTTAGGCTAAAACAACGTGATCAACAAATAGTTGTTATCAGAATATCTATTTGTTCTCATTAAAACTTTTCATAGTTTTTATGTTCAAAACACAGTTTGTCACCCTTCGCCCAACAGGAGGATGCAGTGACGTAGCGGCCCGGGCCCTGAGTTTGCCCGACCTGAACCAGGCTCAGACAGATTCCCTCCCTTCCGGCCTCGAGAGCCAGGAGCGCAGTACCATGGAGCTGGAAATCAGTCAGATTGACCGCATGATCGACGACATGGAGATGAAAGTCAATGTGCTGCGTTGGATGGTGGAGCCCCACGGGCCGCAGTACGCAGACCCCCTCAGCAGCACTGACAGCGTCTCCATGGCTGTGCAGTCCATAGACGAGGAGCAGCAGGCCCCCACATCACAGCCCCTGTGCCAGCGGAGCCACATATTTGTGCTCTTACTGCTGGTTGGTGTTTTTTTCGTAGCGGCCACTTTATCTCTCTGTATTTTCTTTTTCTCATGAGCAAGACCTTAAGAAATTTAAATTGATCATCTTTTTCTGAAAGTGAAGAAAAATTACTTATTTGTTTAAACAGTGTACCAGACTTAATCCAGCTGCAAGCTAGTATACAATTTTTTACACTACATCTAACTAAATGCTTTGATTTTAAAGTATGCCAATTAGGACTTGATTCATAATCTGAAATTGAGTGTAGTCCAGATGGTGAATTTTCCTTTTGTTCTCTGCTCTCTGAATTTATCAGTAACAGGTTGGAAAAATCAAATGGATCGCCTCCTGAAGTTGGATGTCCCTGAACAACCCTGAACATATCACTATTAACTTGTTAAATCAATAACAAATTCATGTAGCATTATCACATTTTTTGTAAAAATATTCCTCTAGGGCCAAAATGAAATCCTCAATTATTGCTAGCTTGCAAGACCAATGACTGTTAGCTTGCATGGCTAAAGGCTGTTAGCCTAGTTATTAAAACTACATTCTATTTGTTCTCAAGTTAGAGACTGAAAAACAAAATCAAGATCATCCTTAAAATCTGAATTTGTTTGTCTCTAACAGTTAAAAATGCAACATATCTTCCATGGATGAGTGAATTTGTGGCGATTGCGTAAAGCTAGCTATTGATAACTTTTGACAGTTTGTGTCTTGTTAAACCTTTGGTGCACATAGAGCTATGAAAATCTATTTTTCCGAACATGTCCTTTCAATGTTTTGAACACATTAAATGAAGAGAAACACATGATTGACAGCTTGTGTTGCTACTATTAGTTAACAATAAACCAAAGAGCAAATCTCAGTGGAAATCCCACAGATTTTCCAGCTCCTATATGAGCCACGGTGAAGTTCTTTGGGAAACTGGAGCCAAGATTTAGTTTTTCTCTGTTAAATGTAATAAAGTATGTAAAACAGAAAAGCTAACATTTCTGTACATTTTGCTTAATGATTGGAGGAAAAAAAAGAAGCTAGAATGACACTTGCAACTTATTTTTTCTGATTGCCAATAAAAGTATAAAGTTTGACGAAACCCTGTTGTCATTTCTCTTTTTTTTTCCTCAGAGGGACAATTTAATAAGATCTACTTTTGAAATGAGGTTAAATTAAAAATCATTGAAGCAAAATAAGATAATTCTCCTGGCATCTTCATTTTGTTTTAAGCCAGGCTAGATGGCCCAGCCAGCACACCACCAACCCGGGATAGTGTTTAACATTTATGAACCTTTAAATTGTCATACTAGCACTGGGAACATGCAACTGATTCCTGTCAGAGTAAAAAATTAAAGAAAACAGTGTAAACATTGTTCACTGAGTTTTGTTATTTAATGTGTTATTTTTAATGAACCAGTTATTGTGTAGGTTTTGCAGCTCTAGAAAAATTAGTAATTATCATGGGTAAGGGCAAATATGTCTCTTTGGATTCAAATGATTGCTACTGCTTGATCTATGCATGAAAAATGTACAATAGAATATCCATTCTCTATTGTCTTATTATGAAAGCTTTTGTTTAGGTAATTTTGAAGAATTTTAGGTATCACTTCTCAGTCCCCACCTTTAAAATTAACCACATTTTCAATCTCCTCCTGGTGTACAATGAAAGAAGATTAGGCAAATAGTTTTGTCAATATTTTTAGCAATTTATCTGCAGAAGCGGAACCTATAGACAGATTTTGTGCTCATGTTCATGATGTCCTGACGTTCTTTATGCACTCGCCTCCTGTAAGCACAGGAATTATTAGATATGAAATATAGATCTACTACATAAGCATAAATATAGTTTTCTTTGTGTTTGAAATATTGGGAAACGTCTGGCATAATTTTAAAATAAATTTGTAATCATGCAAACTGCAATTTCAGAGCGTGTTTTGCGCTTTATTTTGACAGGCGAGACAGGAAGTTTGTATGGTATACATGTCATACTTAATTGACAATGGGTCATTTACTGGGTGAAATGCGGCGATGACAAAACGAAAAGGCGATATCAACACTTCGGAGATTTTTAACAGACAGGGGACCTGCTTTGGGAAGGACTTTCTCCACAACGACGCAAATTTTGACCATGGTGCTGAAACAGCAGCCTTGGCTGCTGCTGAAGCTCTTCCGTTTGAACCAATCACAGAGGCGCTTTGACCCCGCTGCTTTAATCCAGGACAGGGCAAGTAGGTGGGCAGCAGCACTGGGATCGAGCATTGCCCCGGTTCTGTGGAGTCTGACAGCAGGCAGCACCTCAGTTCTCACCGCTACATCTCGGCCTAACTTTGAGCCTCAGTCACTGAGATGGAGACGAGCTCCAGGACTGAAGGTTACGGGTTTCTCTGTCCTGAGAAACATCTCCGTGCGAGGTAAAGCTGCTTATGGGGTGGGGTTCCATTTGTATCAAAAATAAGTAGAAGTCATATGTGTAGATGTGTCGTTGCTATGTGTCGTTGGTCTATGTCGTTGGTCTATGTTGCATGTAGATGATGCATATGTAGATGTTGCATATGTCTATGTTGCATATGCGTTCGCTGCATATGTGATGAACGTCGTTGGTCCATGCTGTTGGTTCATGTCGTTGGTCCTTGTCGTTGGTCCGTGTTGCTATTGCCTGTTTTCTGCGCCATTAAAAAGTCCTGAAGTAGGTCATGTATGATCAAATTGTTTATTAGATATTACAAAAATGTTGGTCTTTCAATATCAGTGGTTTCAATAAAATTGTTTTCAAAATGTTAAGTTTTCTACCTCGTATTTTCTTTAGGCATTAGTCAGGGCAGCTAACGAGGTCAAGGGGTCCTGGCCCAGTGAAGGGGGCGCTAAATTTCTTTTTAAATCTGTGATATATCTTCATTTTAAGAAGAATTTTCACTGTTGGCATGTATTTGAACTTCTCTCTTTTATTTGCTTCAGCGCACCTCACAGTTTTAAACAAATTCTGTAGTTTTCGGCGTACTTCTAAATCTGCTCCTTAGTCGCATCTTTTTGGGCCTTCTACTGCCTCTAGTGGCGTGGGGTGGTAACACAACTAATATAATTACATTACTAAATCAAAATTCCACAA